GGCTATGCCGCCTATCACTAACCTCCCCAGCGGGTGACTCTAGAACCTTCTGTGGAGGCGTATTTAGAAGATATAAGGCGCTATTATTATGCCACGTAGTATGTAGACTTTCTTTTCTTCTTTATCTTTATAGTAAACAGCTTAGGGACTAGCTAGTTGAATCAACTCGCTAGAGGCCTTTCACAATTAGCATTTTGAAGTTGCCTCCCGAGATTCGCATAAAGATATACAAATACGTAGCACTATAACAATAGCTTAATGCTGACTAACGTATCAAGTAAATCAAGTCGAATCAAGTTAAGTAAGTTCACAGAGGATTTTATTTCAAGTAATCAAGTTACACCCCCGAACTTGACTTACTTGAATTGAAGTCATCGCTGTATCACACCACGAACGACCCAAATTGGGGCGTTTCTCTTAGCCAAGACGATAACATGTCTGATCAGCAGTTGCTTCGGGATATGCTAACTCCGCTTGAGACTGTAGACATTGAAACCCTGCTGCCGACAGAGACGGAGGCTTGGTGCAATCAGCGGCTTAAAGAGATCGGATTTAAGGCTCGACTAGATTTCGAAGATGACTTTAAGCGCCCATATGTTGATGCATTTATTCAACTACGAGATCTTATTGAACAACATCAAAAAACAGGATATCTGCCAATCCTACAGCTGACACCGGTCTCAACTGGTGGTGCCATGGAATACGAACGCCTTCTTCAACGCAACTACCTCGCTGATCCCGAGTTCTGAGAGCAGGGGTCCTCGCAATTCCCTCCTTTCCAACATGGCCATCACACTCACGAGAGCCTCTCTTCCAGGTATCCTCATCTGCCATTGAACAGCTACTTGACATTTCTTCTGTTAATACTTATTAGTGGTGATTATGCCAGCTGAGGCTCTATCGATTAGTGTACTCTGCGACGAATACCACAACCGAGAGAAGCACGAAGTGATTCGACGAGAGAATCCATCTTTGCCAAGATGTGGTTACTGCGGCAAATTCTGGCCGAAAGAGATCAACGTTGGAGACTCGGATAGCGAGGTTAGCTTAACCACTAACCTACGAAGAGCGTCATCCTGAATGACCGGCTATATCTCATCGGAAGGAAGAGGTCTGCCTAGTCTTTCGAGGTCTAGATCTCCCGCGTCATCTTCCTCATCATCTATAGGTCGATCAATTAACCGTAAGCAAGTCTCACATTTTGAGAAGATGAGGCGTAAAGCCAACAGGCTACAAGAGCGGTAAAAGAAGCCTCGCCTTTCGAAAATCCAATTGGCTTAAAGATCCGAATTAAAGTTCTACATTCTGTCGGCTATAACCTCACAGAGGGCTTCTCCAAGGCCGCAAAAACATCCCAGCTTGGTATTTTGCCTGCCACATTGCCTGTGATTCCTATTACTGATAGTTTTGTAGATTGCCTTGATCTTCCTGTCATGCCTTGGCGGACCCTGCGGTCTCTCTCCAAGGACAGCTTTATTTCTGACTACCTTATCCGCCTTGGGCTGCCTTTGCGAGTGATCGATCAGTCGAATATACAATTTGGCGTCTCTTTGAGAGGATTGGCAAGTCAGAGACTGGGACTTTCATCTCTATTGCCTTCGAACACGAGCCTTTCGAATCAATGGAGGAAATCTTCCATTCTGATGCAAATGACGCTTGGACTGTTGAAGATGGAAGAGCCGTTCTTTGGATTGATATACGATTTATTGAAGATCAGCCAATTCAGCAGCCAAAAAATCCTCGGATTAAATCTAAAGAAAGAAGCCGGCTAAAGCCCACAAACACAATAATCAATAATGTGATTGAAGAGGAAAGATCCCGATTGACCATGGCAGAGCTTGCAGAAGACATTAAAGGGAGGTAATTCGTGAGGTTATCAACGTCAAAGCTTTCCCGCCAGCACAAGCAGTAGAAGCGACTCTCAGGTTCTACAGGAAGGTCAAGAGGACCAGCCACAGATACAATACGAAGGCAAGGCTCAGGAAGCTCCAGAGGAAGAAGAAGATCATCAGGATCATCAGCCCTCAAGGAAACGGCTACGAGCCCCTACTGTAGATAGCGATGATCAGCCTTTAAATCCCCGATCGACTCGCTATGGTCGCGTGACGCGCGTAACCGCCAAAGCACGATCATCACGATCTAAGTAATAGCCATTTGAACAGTCCAGACAACTTGACTAAACACATCTAAAGCTTTACATCCCTAAGTAAAACCTTGTCGCGACATTCAGTTATAGAAGCACCTTTAAAACGAGACTGCATCGCTCATACAGCCGATAAAAGCCTCGCTAATAGGAATTGCAAAAATTCGACGAATTTAAGGTCATTTTACTAAAAACAAGCATCAAGGGCCGGGACCCGAATTCTTGTCTTTCAGGGTGTGTCGGCCATGCCGACTGTGTTGTGTCGGGTCTGCAGTTATTTGCCTAATATCCCACCATAGAGTTCTGCAGATATGTAACACAGGCTGTTGACGGGTTCAGTTCATGACTCAGCGTCCCACAAAATAATGTTAGATTTCACGATGCCCCACTTGAATTACTACCGGGGTTAGGTCAGTTATTGAGGTCAAAATTGATGATTGTATCCATTGATGGTTGTATCTTCTGTGTGTTCTTGTCGGGCGGGGAGACTGGGGAGACTTTGGTCTCCCCCGCCAGGTTGCACCGCCACACGCCACTATTGCTATAGCCGACTCTGCATTTTAGTGTTAGATTGGCGCTGGGGGAGTGAATTAACGAGGTCTAGTCGATTAATGAAGACAATCTCTGGCTATTGCAATAGATGCTGTGGCTGAAGCAAATATCAAGGGTTGGGCTGCAGCCTAACCCCGCTCCCAGAACAATCACACAACAACACAACAATAAATTCATAAGATTATGAATCGATTATTACATAACCCATCGTGAATCTGAATAACCCCGGTGTATCTAACATTTAGCGCCGTTTTAATTGCACGCTCTCCCGCCAATCTATCAAATAAGGCTCCCACTGGAGCGGCGCCCAGGCGCCAGAATACATCCGGCGCCGGGCTCGCGATACCGTTTTAGCGGGCCTAACGTGTTTTGATTGGCCGAGGCTTTTACACGCGAACAGCGCGCCTTACTCGTGTTGTGTTGTTCCTCATTTATTTCGAACGAAATTCTGGTGTACATGATGTCATGATGAGTGCCCAAACTGGGACTTCTTCTGCTGTTACACAGGCCGGCGTCTTCCCCGAGAAATGTCTCCCGCCGGAGGATGAATACCGATCTCGTGAGGAGCTATTGACGGCAATAAACACCTGGGCTGCAACAAGAGGGTTCGCGTTTGTCGCGCGGAAATCTACTACTAAATCGAGTGGTAGGAGAATCGTAACATACGCATGCAATAAGTCTTGGAAGCCTAAGACCCCGACAGATAAGGAATCAAAAAGGAAAACAA